TGCCAATTGCGAATGAGATGAATTAAAGTCTAAGTATTTATTAAAGAGTGTCGGTTTCTCAAAAATGGCGGTATCTAACCCACCATCTTGTTTTCATTTTATTTTACGGTCTAGCATGGCTGACTCACATGCTAATTTTGTAACTCAGAAGTGAATTGGATTCCATCTATCATTGAGTTTACACGTGTGTAGAACTGAAGGATATGTTCAGATGTGTGTTACCCACAAATCCCCATCACAACTTAGGAACAGGATTAGATATTCGAAGAGCTTTATATTTTTAACTGTCCATAAATATGTCTGCTGCTATTGGGGATATTATCCCTACACTGGCAATAAAGAAAATCGCAAAAAACAGCAAGAGGAAGAAAGAGAGAGTGGGGTGGGGTGGGGGAATATACAGGCCAAATCATGAAGCCGTGTGATTAAATCAGTATGATTATGAACAATAAATTTTGTTCGAAACGTCATTCAGTTGGGAATATTGCATCACTGTGTATTATTTCAAATACATTTATCTAATACAGAACTGTGGTGGTTCAGCGGTAGAGTGCTGTACAACCATGCACGTGATCCACGGTTCAAGACTCGACTGACGCACTTCCTAAGTCGTTTACAATTCCGACAAAGATGGAAGATTGGGCGTGAGACTAGCAACCCCCTTCCGCTTTAAAAAAGCACCAATGCTACTGAAACTTCATATCTAAAGCTTGAAGCCCTATGCCACCCTGGGAACACAAAGAAATTTTAAAAAATATGAAACAGTAGTAGATTGACTAAACTTATGCAGAATAAGTGACTTTATAAACCGTCTTACAATGCCGATTTAAACAAACAAAAAATTAGGAAAACATAAAGAACTGTAGCCATTCATCATCATACTGAAACTCATTCATACCTACCCTCTTAAAATTATGTTTTACTAACTTGCTCTGTTTTTCTTTTGAAATTTATATGTGAGGCACAAAAACATAAAATGCGAAAGATGTATAGGTGTTTATCCCCAGTTATCACCTATCCAAATTCTCCTAATAGATCATTCAATGCAGAAAACTACTACATGGCCTTATTTTTTTTCTCTGAAGATAATCTTCCTTAGTAGTTCTGTGACTAAGTGGCTGAATATATAACTAAGCGCATCAATCATCCGTATGCATACTTATTTATTATCCAGTAGCGTTATGTTTTAAGCTACCAACCTTCCTTACTGCCTTTCACTTATTATCTACTGGAAAACAGTATGACAGATACACGATAACCATAAATCTACACGACAAAACTTGTTACTGCGACTATTTTATGATATATGTACTATTCAAGTATTGGTATGTAGGGATTTCATTGATTGCATGGAGGATTTCATTATGAGCTGACATTGGTTAGAGAACCATTGTAAAACCTGAAGGTACTGAACAGCTGTTTCGTCCTAGTTTGGGACTCTTCATCAGTACGCGCCCACCAGGGTTCGAACCCAGGACCTGCTGGTTACAAGGCTAGCTAGCTGGTAAACCATTAAGCCATTGGGACCCGATCCAGTGGCCCATGAATTCTAACTTCTGCCTATTCACTGTGGAAAGAAAAAATCTGTCAACTGAGTGCATCCAAAGAATACGAGTTTTTTTCTTCACGTGAAGTTTGTATTCTCAGAATGAGGAGGGAGGGGTGGGTTGGATTTGGCTGAAACATTAAGCCATAAATTTAAAAATTTGATAAATAACATAAATAACATGTTAGTGTTTCAATAGCCTTATAGAGTATACTTTGATGCTTTGTAACTATTGGTGCTGAATTTGGTTCCTAGATTCTGTATCTTCAATTTCATGGCTCAATAGCATCAAACAAACACCAGAGCTTCATACAGTTACTCCTCTTTATGCATTCGAATAAAATGACAGCAACAGTCTGCGAACAACGAGAGGGTACCATCATTCATTTCGTTGGCACCTCATCAGCTGCGTAGAGACTAAATGAATTATCAGGTTTTTGTACAAAACAATTCTAACATTCTTGCAAATTTAATTGGTGGATGGTGACTAGCAGTGGAATCAAGAATGCGCATTTCTTCCTATTTCACACTCGTCATCTAGATGTACCTGCATTCCACAGTGAGTGATGATGTTCCCACCGAGGCTCGAACCCAGTGGCCATAGTCTCAGACACCATAGCGCTATCCTATAGACCACTTGGGCCACGACAGCCCCCTCTTGTAAATGCTAGGTAATATTGGTTATGGGAGACTCCAAATCTAATAAACAGTGCTCGAAAAACTATACATATGTAGTTTATGCCTACAGAGTTCAAGTTTAAATAACGAAATAGGTGAAGTGGCAAGAGTGTTACGTATTAAATACAGAGGTACATAAGATGGTGTGTAACTAATAGACTGAGTAACAATGTAGTGAGTCCAAGACAAATCAAAGAAACAAGAGACAAACAAAGTTAAACTATAGCGAAGGAGGGATACGTCAAAGCCAGCGACTACGTAACCAGATGAAAGGGAGAATAAAGACATTCAGTTACCAGGTCCAGGAAAGACTGATAACCGCTTCTTTCTATTGAAGTGTGTTGTCAACTGATATTACGCAACACTCTGGAGTATGTAAAAATTGTGCTGGATATATATACTTGACAATTTCTTTAGACTGTACACAACTAATGACGATGGTATGACCTTGCTGTACAAAAACTACTGTTGTTTTTGCTTCATTTGAAACACCAAATCAACTTGAGCTTATGACCAACACATCACTAAAATCGTTGAATTAATCACTGAGAGACGCTGGAATTTTATATGCTTTTGAAACTAATGACAGACTATTCAGTACCTGAACTCATCATTGAGATCAACCATTTCCTAGCTGCTTCTGAAGTCTCTACAAAAATTATATTTTTTCGAAAACTTTGAACGAATAACATATTTTCGGAAAATTAGTTTCGCTGAGTTGGAAAATGCATATATATGTATGAAGACAACCTCAAAGCATCGAGGGATTTAGAAAAAGCCTCATATGTTTTTCTAATTTTTATTAGACCAGGGTCTTAATCAATTTTATATTCCCTTTATTTTAAAAGTTTCTACCCATAACTGGGTTATTACGGTAATTATGCAGCGTGTAACGTTGTTCCGCATTTAATATGTCATTATTGTTCCTTTAGATTACGAGTGGAATGCCGAGCTTCAAGGGAACATATTCATTCTGCCCTATTCTCAGAGATCCTCTTTGGCTGTCCCTACGACTTCCCATAATCTCTTCTCTCGTATATGCATGATCTCACCTATGTCACCTTCACATCCACTTCCAACTCGTCGATTCTCATTCTATCTCCACTCGAGAGATGGCATAGCATGATGTTTCCTATCGATTTCTATTCTCTTCCATATATTTAATGAGCAATAAGTTCTTGACTGGTTCATTCTCAGAATTCCTTGTTGCTAATTTTTTCTGGCTGCCCATCTGCACTTCATTATGGAGCCACAGAAGGCAGCTGTTGATAAAAGACAGCAGTAGTCTGTTGGAAATGCTTTATGTGACGCATGCTGCAAGTTTCTGACCCATATAGAAGAATTGACTGACTTAACATTGGTGTTGAAAATCCAAATTTTGTTATTTATGCCAAGTTCAAAGTTTCCAAATATATTTCACAGTGATGAAGGCATTTCTTACCTTTCCAATCCTAGTCTGCTTTGATATTCCCATCCATGATGTTGCCTGTAGTTCAAACGATGCTGACTATGTAAGTGAAGGAAGTGACCTATTTGAAATTTATTCCACTGATAGTGATTGGTGCTTGTTGATGTTGGTTAGTTTGTTATCTTCGTCAACTCCGTCTTCTCTATGTTTATTTAAAGTCCTGTCTTCGCCGCCCACTTCATCTGTGTATTTGTTGTTTCTCGCCTGTAGGTCTTAGAGTATGTGTAACATTAGGCGTAAATCATTTGCTAGATCCAGATCTTCTACGATCTTCTTTATCGGTCATCCAACGTATTCCTGTCTTCTAGCTCCCCACGTACAGCGTTCCGAATACTCCAGTCCACCACAACTGGAAATATCATTGGTGATCATATTCAGTCTCTCCTCAATTCAAAAGCTTCTTTGAGTTTTTCCTTGTTGATATCTTGACATGTGCCTTTCCTTGTCAAATAGCTGTTGAATGAGTTTGATGAAGACTTAGGGAACTGCCATCCATAGTGTTGAAGTGGTTTCCTTATTTCTTCACTGTCGAAAGCCTTTTCAAAGTCTGTGAACTTAAAATTTTCAAGTATTGGTTGTGTTGGAATTTCGTTTGATTGGATGGAGGATTTCATAATGAGCTGACATCAGTTAGAGAACCACTGGAAAACCTGCACGGGGTACTGGACAGCTGTTTCGTCCTAGTTTCGGGCTCTTCAGTAGTCCCAAACTCATTGAAGAAGACATTAGGAAATGGTCGCTTTATGTCGTGATTTAGCAGAAGTTGGAATTCATGAACTGGTCATTGGATTGGTTCCCAGTGGCTTAATGGTCTACTAGCTAGCTAGCCGTGTAACCAGAATGTCCTGGGTTCGAACCGTGTTGGTGTGTGCATACTGCTGAAGAGCCCACAAATAGGCTGACGAAACAGCTGGCTGTCCAGTACTCCCAGGTTTTCCAATAGTTCTATAAGTGATGTCAGATCATGATGAAATCCTCCATCCAATCAAACTTGACATTCCGCATTATTTACTATCAGTGTTTTTTTATAAGATATCTGGATGATAAGAAACCCAGAAGAAAACATACAGCCAACGATCAAACCATGCTGCATTTCGTCTATTTATAACATTAATTAGCAGTTTTCTGACTGCCAAATATGTTTTTACATTTGACTGACAGATTTTAGGGAAATAACCAGAGATAAAGAGGGTGTTTTGAATACCCTCCGACAATTAACTTGCACTTTCTTTTAAAAAACAAACAAACTGTATGAACTTTCATTTAAACCAATAAAAGTAAGTAGATATATAAATAAAATTTACTTACTTGTACGTCTAATGGGAAATCGTTTAATTCTAATGTCTCTAAGAATACACCTCTAAGGCGGCGACGTTCAACAATATAAATTTCACCAGCTTCATTTTTCTCTGTCATAATCCAATGTTGTTCTTTTGATTCACTTAATATATTGTCAATTAATATAAGAGGATTCCAACAGCGTTGTAAATCTATTTTACGTAGACACTGAAATATAAAGCAAATATTATAGCTATAAGTATAAACACAGTTATAGAAAGTTATATTTTGAAAGTCTGATGATAGTGACATTTTAATAATGTTTCCTAGCTGAGAATGACATAAAAGAAAATACGGCAAATTTAAACTTTAAGCACCACTAACTACCAATTGGCAAATGACCTCGGACGCACCAGTCACATGAAGGAGGTATTTTTGTGTATGGAATACATACATTTATGGAAAAAATTCATGAAAACTGTAGAGAAGTGTTACAGAGGATATCTTCCTCTCACATATGGTAAAAATAACTCTCAGTTTTAGTTGGAGTATCAACAGAGTCCAGTTCCATTGTCGGTAAAATTTATTTTGATAAAGTCTGATAGTGTAATACAGTGATATTTACTGAGCAATAAATTGTGCTCGAAATATCATCAGTAAATATTACTGCATTATAAACACTGTGAGACTTTATCAAAATTAATCTTACCCGTAATGGAATTATACTCTACCACAGTGCATAAGTTCTATTCTTATATCAACAGAGTAATATAACCACATTCTATACATGTAATTATTTAGGTCTTCTAACCCTAATAATAACCCTAGTCTTTCCTGAACCTAACCCCAACATGAAAATATCCCTAAACTAACTGTAATCTAACTCCGACTAACCCTAACTTAGCCTTTATTAGGTTAACCTAACGCTGAATTTTCCTTGGCTTGAAGAGTAACTTAATCTTTCCCAAAACTAAGCTGAAACTTGCCAGATATCCCATTAAATAGCACAACGCTTAGATGATCATATTTTATTAATGGTGACAGCATTATATGCCAGGTCTCACCAACTTGCTCAGTGATCGATTCAAGGTGATTAGTGCGGTCGCACTCCATTGGTATTTAGTGGTGCTTAAAGTTTAACTTGGCCGGAAATATGCCTCTTTATGAACATTTGTGTGAGCTGAGATCAACACATGAAAGCAAATAATAGTTTTTTCAACTAGATCTCACCAACTTTTACTCTAATATACATAACTTAGAGGAACGCCTGATGAGATCTGGTTGAAAATAATACTAGTTACTGGATTTCATCATGAGCTCACATCAATTAGAGAACCATTGGAAAACCTGAGAATACTGGATAGTCGTTTCGTCCTAGTTTGAGACTCTTCATCAGTACGCACCCGCCAAATAGGGTTCGAACCTATGACCTTCTGGTTACAAGGTAAGCTCGTAGACCATTAAGCCACTGTGATCCAGTCCAATGGCCACTTAATGAATTCCAACTTCTGCCAATTGACGACATATCGTGACCGCTAGCCAATGTTATCGGTGGCGAGTAGTTGTCGTCTCGTCCGACCTGCTAGGACTAAACACTTGTTCAGTTTTCCCATGTTTTAAATGGCTCTCTAACCGAAGTCAGCTTATGATGTTATCCATTAACGAATCAACCAAATTCCTACAAACCAGTACTTAAAAATAATATTGTTCGCATATGGAAATCTTTAAAATTTTCGTGAATATTGCATTGAACGGTCTCACATTTTTGCAGAGTTGTCATCATTTTTCAGATTTTCAAAGTGTTTACTGTTCTTTACCGTAGTGCACATATCCCTTAATCTGTAAATAACGGTAGGCGAACCCTAATTATAAGTTATATTATATCACTATTCCCTTGGTTTCCTGGTGGAACAAAGAGCTTTAAAAGCTCGTCCCCATTTTATCCTGTTCTCTAAAGTTTTCTTTAGCGGGACCCATGACTGCCGATGGGTTGTCATCTGCTCTTCACACAATCTGTTCCTTATTACCTTAGGAAACACGCCCAAATGCCCGTTTCCCGTTCGGGCTCCAACAGAGAGCTGGTCTGGCACGCGACTTTACTAAATGGTCTCCTCAGCTAAATTTCATATCTTCTTGATTTATTCGTTCTCATCATACGTTTAGTAACCACATCTCCTTTCCAATTCCACATGCATGTATATTTTCAAATATAAGGCATGCTAACAAACTTGTGATATACTATAAGACGGTGTAAGGAAAAGTCTGCAGACTTGAAAACAACCGGCTATTCTTTGCATTCTTATGTATTGATCAATATGACTGAATGGAATGATGGAAAGTATGTTTTAATTTCACATGAAAGGTGCTAAATTAAGGTTTCAGTAAACACAAAATAGCTTACTGGGATTCAGATATAATCCGTTAGTGTTTCGTAAAGGAAAAGAATGTTTTAAGCGCCATGTTTAGCCAATACACAGTAGGTAAGATTAATGCTCATGATAAGTAAATGAAATATGCATAAAACCACATACTACTGAATGCCTGAGAAGCTGCATACCACTTATATCAGCCAAGAGTACTTGCTAGCCAAATCGAGGTGATCTAAATACTGGACGCCTGTTTTGTTCGTTTGGGACTGAGCTCATCAGCGATGTGCTCTGCTTCACTGAGCTCAAAATAGGTTTCTTTGTAGAAAACAGCACTGTCGAATGCTTTAATATATAATACAAACCTGTCGAAATTGATGAATTATTGTAAAATTACTTGAAATTATAGTGTAATACGGTGTGAGAAGTTTCTGTTGATGAAGCTGTGAATTACACAACGAGATGTTTGGGAAGATGTTGTTTTAGCTAACTAAACTCTGAGGCTACTCCAGGTAGTTTTGTAGTGATTTATTCAGATTCCGTCCTCGAAATTCTCCAAGAAGTCTCGTGAATATCCCATTTCTTATCTTAATCAAAAATATCTTTTTCTCATCTTTATGCCGGAGGTTTATCAATTAAAGTGGAATTTAGTATACGAATATATATAGCGATTCCGCTTATATTTATTGTGTCACAGTAGGTTTTTGATTAATGCATGCTTCTGCCTGCATATTCAGAAGTGATGAACATTAAACTGGATATCTCATATCAAATTACTAACTGACTGTCTGGTTTCAACATAAAACTTTTCACAGACGTAAAGCAGTTCAAGTAGCCATACTCCATGTAGAACACAAAGGAAGATAAAAGAGAGAAACGAAAAAGGGGTTCAAAAGAATAATAACAAGCAGAAGTGTGAGGGAAAAAGAATAGTAGCATGCCAAAAACAATGAGGTTTAATGAATATAGGAAATCCAGAAGGGTAAATGGTTCTGCGCCAGTGAGAACGATTTTGAGTCATATCACCAACTGTCTCCAGCTATTGTTTCTTAGTATCCCCACAACCCCCAACGAGGAAGTTCACAACTTCCTACATGGTTGGCTCAGACTGACAGTTAAAGATTTCATAGACGACTGATTCTAGGCCCTGGTTGGTCCAGCACTAGCTCTTTTCCAACCTGACTGCTTCTAAGTCAGCTAACATTCACCATCGAGGAAGGCGATGTCTGGGCAAACGTAACACATATCCTAACCATCTTAATCTATGCGGCTTCATAACCTCATCGATTCGCTTTCCCTATTTGGCTAACACTGGACGCCCAACATCAATATAACTCATCCTACCGTGCCATCTAACAAGGAAGACAGAATGCGAACACCTATGATCAAATACAGCTAATCTGTTCGTGTTTTTCACTTTCAGTAATCACGTCTCACAGCTTTAAATGAAGACAGAGCGAACTGGCACACAGTATAAATATCGTCTGACCGATAGTCAGCCGGATATCACGTCTATGTCAGAGATGGCATTGGTTGTATCTGTGCTGAGGTTTCGTCAGGAATCAACCTTTTGGGGCTGATGTGACTTCGCGAATAGGTAAAGAGGTCAAAACCCTCTACCGCTTCACTCTCTATCTTCAAGTTACGAGTGGATGTAGTCCTATAGCATCATTATACATCTGATGGAGGTAGATCTCACGCCAAACATACGAAGTTTACTGCTCAAGGTGTTCAAAATATTCTGTATTTTATCACCACGTGTGTTTTCTCATATTTCTATTGCTTAAAATTAAAATGAGAGTGTAAAGCCTATGTAATGTGGTAGAATATAGTGCCATATTAATTTGTTTGTTCGTTAGAGCTTCAAATGATATAAGTGGAAGAATTGTGATAATATCCTCCCGTAGTTATCACTAGTAAGCTGCACTATAAATGGAATATAGCAAACACTTACGGAATTGCTGGAAGGTATATCGAATCCGAAGAAATTGAAATTTAACTTAAATTTATTTCCTATAAACAACGCCAACAGCAGGTTCATTCAGTGCAATGTACATTCTTATAAATTATCCAATATTTAAAAAGCTTAAAAATCTGCACACTTTACAGGCTAAACAATCGTTATCACTGTGAAGTATTTACATTCACTCACCTCATCTGTCTTACCATCTAAACGTGGTTCTCTCCATTTGGCTTGAATAAACGCGTCGGCATGATAAATCTCTTTCAATGTGTCAATTTCACCAATTTTCAAAAATACCACACGAATTTGTACAGATACCTAAATAAACAGAAGATTTATATATAAACAATTATGGAAAAGATTATTCGGTAATTTTTATCTAAAGCATAAAGTTTTCAAGCAGGTCTAGTTTTTCATTTCATTTGGTTGAAATTAAAATAAACTAAGTTTAAGGAGAAGTTCATGTAATCATGGGTGCATATTGTCATTGGCTACTAGTAACCTAAAAGTGAAAATCTTAATTATAAACAAACATGCTGAACAGTAAACTGTCCTTTGACTCCTAGATTTCAGAAGCATTAAACAACAAGAACATCTAACAAATATTTACACATTTTCTCTATTTCTTCACAGCATGTAACTTGGAATAAAATGAGTCTCAGTTTTGTATTTGTAAGCAGGAAAATATTTAAGTTTTACCAGGGATTGATATCGGTTGGAGAACCATTGAAAAACAACCTGCACAGCCGTTTCTTCCTAGTTATCGGAACTTATCGTCAGTACGCACCCACCCACTGAGGTCCGAATCCGGGATCTTCCGGTTACAAAGAAACCGCGTACATCATTCAGCCTCCAGGACCCATGAATGTTAACTTCTGTCAATTCGTGATTTCAGCATGATCATCGGCCAGTGTCACTGGGGTTCGGAACCGGATGGGTGCCGATGAGTTTCAAGTACTAGGACAAAATAGCTACCCAGTAATTCATGTTGGTTTGCAATGGTTCCCTGACTGATGTCAATGCATGATCAAGATTGGAACAAGTCAGTTCTTTACAAACAAACGCAATAAAACATTCTTTTAAGAAGGTATACGTAGATAGTATATCTATTTGTGAATCAACTATAAAGTATATCATCGCTCGCAATCAAAGAACGAGTATCCTAATTCTGTAACCGCTTCAAAATTCAATCTAGGTTGTGTAGCTACAGTAATTTATAGTATCAGAATGTTGAAAAAAAGTGCACTTATAGTTAATGATATAATCTTAGATAAGAAATTTGCACGAAATTACCCATCTGTGGGCTGGGATGATTCTGTCTGAATAAGGAGTTATTTAGTCTTTTTGTCCAACTACTTCCAATTAAAAAAAGAAAATGTGTTTTTCAAGAGATTGTTAGTAAGGATCTGATTTGTTTCAAGTTCGACCGCGGATTGATATCAGTAAGAGAATCACTGGAAACCGCTGGGGAGTACTGGACAGCTGTTTTGTCCTAGTGTTTGTGACTCATTGGCAGTAGACACCCACCGACCAGGGTTAGAAACCATGACCTTCTGGATGCAAGTCAAGCTCGTTGACTATTCAGACACTAGTATAGAATACTACAGCCCATGAATTGTAATTTCGCCAGGGAGTACTACACAGCACTACCTGGTTTTCATTGATTCTTTAACTGCTATCGATCCGGTATCAAAATTTAAAAATGTGTTTTCTTGAAGTGTCATAAAGATTCGAAACAAAGTAGCATGTATTTTGATTGGGCATACGCATAATCCTTGGTGTTGGTGCAAGCTGAATTCTACTATTCAAGTTTGAAATGTGGTCATCAGACTAGGTGTCTTGTCATTATGCTGCACTCTGAATTGTAGGTATTATCAGATGGTTGAAAGCAATCGACAGGAAGTCAAACACGACTTAGATTTCGTGCTTGTTGACACCCACTAGTCAGCAAGGAGTATCTGCAGCCTATAAGGAACTTGTTTCCCTTCTGAGGTTCGAAGCCATGTCAGCTAGTGAGTTTCGCGCTCGGAGATGTTATCACTGAGAAGTTAGTCGGGCTCGCAATTGACTGTACTTAGTATTACAACTTAACTCAGGAAAATATTGTTTACATAGTATTATGACATGGCCTGAACAAGGAACAAAAAGGAGTAGAAAAATTTTCAAAACAGAAGGAGTAAATAAAGGGCCAACTGAAAAGAAAGGTGTTACTAAAATGTCAGAGGCGTCTTTAACACAGCGGTAGAAAGCTAGCCAACCAAGCAGGCCGTTCAGGCTTCGATCTCCAGCCGATGTACTCCTTTACCTCATTAAGCCAGTAATAAAACTGGTAAAGAGGGAAAGTTGGGTATGAAGCTAACAACCTTATTCCGTAAAAATAAGCACTATTGTTTCTGAAACTTCCAATAAGAACATAAAAGAATAAAAGTGTCATATGAAAAGTGAAAAAAATGGTATTAATTAGCAGAGCAGTTCACCTCGGACTTATACCCCCTTCCTTCTAACTTTGATATAATTCCAGGTTCAACAACTTTGTTAATCAATATTATTTTTTTGAATTTTTGTAGGATTATTTTTACCTACTACATAATTTATTTAGGACACTTACCTGCATGCTGTTTCATCCAAATTCCTATTTTTCTGGACGTCTTTCATATTAAGTAATCCTATTCAAGACTGATTAATATCCACTTCCTCCGCCCCCAGAAGTTACATTTTAATTATTCATCATGTAAACAATAACCCTGACTAATTTGTATTCTTGTCTGACAAACTTAATTTAGAAACACATACAAAAAAATAATTAGGTATAATTGCGATTGTACAGCGAAGTGAATGAATTCGCCGCCAAAAGGAGACTCTTCGCTAAACTGTTTATCCTTACATTCATGTCTGGATGAGTGATTTTCGTTAATAAGCATTTGAAACAATGTGAATCAATAGGACCAAATATAATCGAAAAGATTGTAAGGGGAATAATAATGATAATAATAATAACCAGGATAACTAGTCTATGTTGGGGTTGAAGGCCATGGGAGGGAGAGAGGTTGAACAAAGCTTTTTTGAACAGGAGCATTGAATGGAAAATATATTATGGCGACTGCCTCAACTATATTATGCAATCGTAGGTGTACAAGCCTATAGGAATGAGGTGGCACCTTATGTAGAATTGCGAAGGCTGAATGTTTTATCAGTCTTGTGCTCCGTATCTACAAAATGTGTGACAATATCGAATTCCTGATTGACTTTATGACTCTTTTACCTAACCTAATCACGTTAGACAATACTCAAGAAGGCAACAGTTGGCTGTCTCTCAACGAAAGAACAGTTGTCAGACTTCGTAGCCTATCCTTCACCTGAATTGCATGTATACAACATGTGGTGAATTTTTAAACATATTGTTGTGGCGAAGAATGTTTTCGCCATTATTTTTCTGAGTCTCGATGCTAACAGTTCAGCAGCTGAGTCTCTTTTGAACACTCTTCTGCATAGTTCGCAGGCATTTCTCTGTATCTGTTCTCGTTTTGGAGACTTTAACAAACTTTTGGGGATTTCCGTCCTCATATAATGAATTTTCTATTTTTCTTATTGCTTTTTTCAGGATTCCATATGTGGAATAAGCTTCAGGGTTTGATGTGTTCATTAAATAGACTTGACATAGTAGGTAATCATATCAACCCCCAGTGGTCAGTTAAACATTTCTCATTTTGGTCTGTTTAGAAATTTTAGGTAGACCATACAATCTAGGTATATTTTTCTGCCTGAAGACTTTAGACATTCAAGCATTCAGAAAGGCTATATAAGACTGTATTGCAAAACTTTCAATATTTTACTGAATATAAATGATTTGTTGTTTTGATTTGACTATTTCTTTTCTTTCATCAATAGTTATATTCACATTTCTTTGACATGTAAACACGCCTAATGCGTTGTTGTACAAACTGTAATGAAATGGGTGGTCTGTTTATTTGTAGTCATTCACCTTAGGTAGAAACAGGTGTGGCTATTGTGAATTGATATTGTTTACTGGGTGATATAATTTTGTTTTCTTTTGTTTTTTCTTTGCCTTCTAAGCCTTTTGTACACCAGTAGGATTGACACTGATATTTTATCGACATATAATGAATTCTGCCTTTATTTACATTCAAAAAAGATTACATGCCAGACAAATCGATAATTATTATGATCTTTATTTTAGTAAAACAAAGTTTAAATCTTACTGGAGGGTAGATTAAAATAAGTTTTATGGTTATTCTTGGAGTCTTTCTAACAAATGCTCCTTTTTCCAGTAATGATGTGCCCGTCGAATGGAAAGATATTAGACTTATCCCAGTATTTAAATCATGTACTGGTGTGAATGTTAAATTTAGACCTACGTCAGTAACTTCTGCTTTATTTAAATTAGTGGAAAAATTACAGTTTACACATAAACAGGGTTGATGAAGTTTAAGCGTGGTTGAGGTCTTACGTCATAATATTGTTTCCTCTTTAGACAAACTAGTCGAATATATTCAATGTACGAATACACATTCACGTTTGGCTATGTACTAAAGTGTCCTTCGTTAAATAAGCTTTCTTTGACACACAATGAGTACTGGGGTTGATAACTGGTCGCATTCTTATTTCTCGAATGGAATGTAATATGCTGTATCTAAAGGCAAATCTTCCTCTGCCTTGCCCACCCAAGCCGGTGTCCCTCAAAGTGCTATTCCCTCTCCTCTTCTCTTTTCTTTCTTCTTACATGACTTGCCTCTTTCGAAAGAAACCAGCTGTGTTAAATACGCCAATAATTTGACTATCCCTTTGCTAGCTATGTCTCAATCTGACAGTTCCAAACTAGCCAAATAGCCTTTTGTCGGATATAAGCCAGTGGTCTAAGCTAAATGATCTTTCTTTGAATACTTCCAAATATCAGAAAGTCAACTTCAGCTGAGTGCAAACACGTGAACTGCATCAACTTGTTCATTTGCATGATGCTTTAACCATAGAAGGTGCTGAAATGGAAACCAAGTCAAGCATTAAATACCTTCAAATAGTTCTATCCTCTCATCTTTCTCGATCATCCAATGTCTTGTCAGCTCCTCAGAAAATATTCCATCTAACCTTCCACTCTAAGGCGTTGAGACGATCAGGTAGGTATCTTTCAGTCTCTACTTTTACATTTTGATAATTCTTACATCTTATCTATTCTTCTTTATTTCCTCCCTCCCCCTCAGTCTTTCCTGGGACACTCAACAACCTCTATGTCATATTAGGAAGGGTATTAAAGGTTGTCTGTAGACCAAGTGGTGTGCCAGTACTAGGTCAGCCAGCATGTT